TTTCGGATAACGGGAAGCAATTTGAAGACATCAAATTCTAGAACTGGTGCGCTGAGATGGGGATTCAGCAGAACTTTACTTCGGTAGCACATCCGCAAGCAAACGTGTAGGCCGAAGTAACGAACAGGGCTATCCTTCGCGGACTGAAAGCTCGCCTTGCGTGAGCTAAAGGGTTGTGGGTGGACGAGCTGCCCGGCGTTCTTTGGGCCTACCGAACAACCATCAAGACAACGATAGGTGATACCCCCTTTAACCTCACATATGGTAGAGAGGCGGTGATCCCGGCATAGATCAAAGTACCCACATTGCGACTAGGGGCTTATGACGAGGAAGCAAACAATGACGAGTTCCATACCAATCTGGACCTGGTAAAGGAGGTGCGAGACATGGCCTACATCCGGACTGCAGCATACAAGCAGAGAGTAGGTCGGTACTATAATGCCCGAGTCAAGAAATGGCAATTTCATGTCGGCGATCTAGTGCTTCGAAAAGTTATGATACTTGAGCTTGGCGTGGGTAAACTCAGACCGAACTAGAAAGATTCATACCATATAAGACGGATGAACGGGGAAGACACGTATGAGCTCGAGACTTTGGAAGGGAAGCGGGTACCTCGACCATGGAACATCGACAACCTAAGAAGATACTATGTATGAGTCCACAACTCCAAGTATAAATTACTTATGAGACCACCGAACTGGTAAAAAAGACAACGAGCTGGAGAGAGGACTGTGAGCCACTCCCAGAAGCCTAAGGGCTATGGTGTCGAGTTGACAAGAGACCTTGGCATGATAGAGGTCCTAGATGCCTCCTCGGCATAGGTAGCTTAAGACCCGATCGCCTCTTTGGTACAGGCTCATTAAAACTCAATCGCTTTGGCATGGGCAAGGCAAAGTAACCCAGGCACAAACAGGTCAGGCATGTACCCTACAGTGTCTGTTCACCCTGGCATATAATGGCGATCAGATTATTCCTATCTGTATCGAGCTCTCCAGCCTAAGAGTAATCTACACTTAGAAAAATTTGCTCCTATTTGGTTTGGCTGGCCAGCTCGCCATCCGGGAGTAATCTATACTTAGAAAAATTTGCTCCTATTTGGTTTAGCACGCCAACTCGGGAGTAATCTATACTTAGAAAAATTTTTTGCACGCAAAGAGTTTTGCAAAATATTTTTATTCCATTGATAAAGAACTTCGAGTACATAGTAAAAAAAATTATTACAACTGTATAGCCGAGCTCGGAGGCTCGGAGTGTCAAATATTACAAGGGGGGTCCAAGAAAAGAGGCATCAATCAGTTCGGGGCTCCTCATCATTAATGGAGACTTCAACAGGAGATTCTATTTCCATACGGTCCTCAATGGCACTAGCCTCCTCTCCCTCATCATCAAGTAGGTCGTTGTCACTCACTGCCTCGAAGTCTGGATCCTTGGCGGCTTCAACGGTCTCTTTGGTGATCTTAGACGTGGTGATGGCATTGATGTCGAGGTGGGGAAATTCTTGCCGGATCAACCACCTACTAAGCTTAAACCCCTTGCGGTAGCCTGCTATCCCAGCCTCGACCAATCTTTCTCGAAGCTCTGCCGAAGACTTATACTCAACCGCCTTGACCTTGGCCTCCTCCATTGCCTGAAGCAGGATTTTAGTTCATTCATTTTCGTGAGGCTCGAGGTTCTCGATCTCCCTCTTCAGTGCCGCCTCGCGCTCCTTGAGCTCCTTCTTCTCCGACATCAATAGAATCATCTGCATCTTCTTAGCTCGCGTGTCGTTTTTCAGCTGACTAATCTCGTTGCGAGCTAAGTTGAGTTCAGAGTGGGCACTTTGGGAAGACTCCTCGGCTTTGAGAGCTCACTTTAAGTTCACCTCAGACTGATAGGCCAAGGCATGGATAAAGGAAATCACCTACCAAAAGAAGAAAACAAACATCAGTATGTAGGAAAATCTAAGTATACGACAACTTGAAGGTTAAGTCTAAGTACATATCACCATACAATGTGTGGCCGCTCGGGCCCTGAGCTGAGCAACCAGCAAGTTAGCCTAGCGAGTGACCTCCTCGGTGAACACCACGTCCTTGCTCTTGGGAAGTGGCCGAACTTCGGAGTCAAAATGCTCTGGACCGAAGTATCGTTGCCCGAAGAGGGCGGTCGTTGGAACGGGCTTTGAAGATGTGGTCTCCTCGGGATTGCGGAGTGGAGTAGCCTTGTTTGGATCCTCTTCTGCCAAATCAATTACAGGAGGTTGTTTGACGACGGGGGGGTGCTCGGGCACAGAGGCGGCAACCTCGGTGGTGGTAGTCTCAGTATGGAGGCGAGCCTTCTTGGAGGCCCTCTTCTTCTTCTTCCCCTTTTGCATGCTCCCGAAGAGCTCATCAGCAGGGATGTCATCCATGGCAACTGCGACAAGTAACGAACTAAATCAAATACAACACCGAAGTAAAATAGACGTAAAAAAAGGTACAACAAGTAGAGACCTACCAGGAGGACTTTGGCCGACTTGCATGAGTTTCTCCTCGGTTACGATGTTTTCAAACTTCAGGCCGAGCTGCGCCCAAGATCAGACTTCCTCCCTTATCTTTGGGTCCAGTCTGACACTAGGGTCCTGCATGGCTGCCCTGTAGTGAGTCAGGAAAGGCCACCCATCAGTGTTGCGGACCACGAAGTAGCGCCTCTTCCAGGCCGGGACCTTGTTAGGGAGCTCATGCAACAGCTTGTACCCAGGGCGAGGAGACAATTAGTAACTTCGCCTGTGCTCGGGTAAAACACAAGACAAGTTCTTGATAGAAAGGATCGAAGAGAAGATGTCGAGGTCTAAGGGACAGTTATAATCGTGGAAAAGGGAGATGGTGCCTACGATGTTACGGATGGATTTCAGGTGTAGCTGGTCTATGGCAATGCCAAAGAATTTAACTACTTCAACTATAAAAGGGTGGAGTGGAAGTCGAAGACCGGCTACGAGCTGCTCCTCGAAGACCACGATCTTGTTGTGACCATGATCCTAAGGAAAGTTGCCTAAGGGAATGCTATATACGAAATCGTTGGGGGGTCTGTACCGAGCTACTAAGGATAGGAGCCTATCGGCTGTCATTATTGACTGGCCGAAACTGTCCGACATGCGACCTCGGTGCGAAGTGGAGGCCGATTTGCCAGAATCTTCTCGCTCTCACCGAGGTGAATCCGCCTCGGATGGATTGAGGTCCACATCCTATGCCGAGGTGCCCACCTCGGCAAGATGAGGCTCTGCGGTCTGTGCCGAGGTGCCCACCTCGGCACAGACACCTTGGCCCCAGCGGACGCGCCACTCCCATCTAGGAGACTATCTAAGCTAAGGCTAGACATGCTCACGGAAAGGACAATGGAACCAAAAAGCAAAGGGAGACGGACTCACCAAAAGAAGACCGAAGAGAGCAAGATGACCTCAGACCCAGAAATAGCTATCACTGAACTGGGATACTTGAACGCGACCTCAAGGATTTTGGATTCGCAGATTTGTGGCAAAGAAAATGGGCCCTTTGGTCCTTATTTATAACCAGTATATCCGTTAATCAACAGTCAAGATCAACACGATCCAACGACTCCTAAGAAAATCGGTCGCATGCTTCCCAAGGTTCAAATCAGTTTAGCGCGTGTTTTGATGTCTGCGGAAACTATAATTGGCTTGACTTCTGCACGTACTTGATATGCGATCTGGGTCACTTCCTAGTTGAGCCGAACGGTTGAACAGGTCCGACCAACGATTTGCATTCCACATCACCTATACTTCGTGCCAAATCCACGTAGGCTCGTGATGAACCCCCCGCGCCGGGTCAGGGCCCCTGGCACAAGGAGTGGGGGGCAATTGATGAGGGGTAATTTGGCGCAACCTAGTAAGTAAAGGTCACGTGGACGCAACCTGCCCATAGAATGACAACTCAGCAAGGGGAGCCTAGTCAGTAGTTTGTGGAGTTTGAATCTTCCGCCACCTCGGCATTATGCCACTTCGGCACAATGCCACCCCGGTGCCTAATCAAGTTCGGGGCCCAGGAACTGAAGTGACACGTAATCGATTCCAGAAGCTTCCTAGTAGACTCTGAACATCACGGGATCACCCTGTGTTACGACAGGCCTTATTCTCTCCACACTCAGATCGGGCGGCGACAATAAACTTCATTGACTAATACGTTACGCCCCGACTAAAGTGAAAATGGGTCTCATCCACTCGAGTCGCAGATCCCGAAACCGTTTCGGGAAATCTATGATAGCTCAGCTATGTAAGGGCATCGATTCCTCCAGGGTACAGGTACGCGCAATTATTTGCTCACTAACACTCTAGCACTCAAGTATTCAGCTCGCATCCACAATACAGTACTGACTTAGGCATCGGAGCAGATTCGCCGGGTTAGCCACCCCGGGTTCTCTGATCCTTTATTTTGCAGTTTGGTCTAGCTCGCCACGCGACTAGGGTTTAGGTCATCTTCTAGGTAGGAGTATCCAGATCGCGCACTATCAAAATTCTTTCTCTGATATAAAATAAGATAAGCCACTTGGTCTGCCAAGGACATTTTCAGACTTTCTTGAATGTGAGGTTGAAAATAGCACACATGAGGATGAAGATAACACACATCGGCAATGGTGTCGGATTTCTCCTTCTTTCCCCTTCCTCCTCTGGTCTTTCTCTCATTCTTTCTCCGTTCTCCATTGGACCTTCCCCTAGAGAGAATACAGAGGGTACTTTGGCTATTATGTAACATTATATCATACTTGTGAAGTCATATACAAATGATTTTTGACAAGAATTAATGGTAAGGATAGAGTTAGACAATTGTTAAAAACAGTAAGGGTAGCGACAGCCAATTTTCAGACACTAAGAATACACTCAGTCAATTAACTAAAAGGTAATTTAAGAAATTTACCCTAATTAGAATGACGACCAAATTCAACAATTAATGACTTTGTATGTTGGAGCAAATTGTTCTAGAGTGAAAACCAACTGGATTTCTTGGGAGAGCCCATCTTCCCATCTTTCGATGGGTCCTCCTCTCGCATCTCTTGAGGCTCTCTCTCGCCTTTGCGAGTATCTTTCTCACACCCCTTGGGTGTTCGTTGTCTCCTCATTTCTGGCGATGATCGATGTAGTGAATGACATCGGAAATAATATAACTTTTCCTCCAGGTTTTCATTGCCATTATCATTTCTGGTGAACTTGGAATTCTTACATTTTCTAGTGGTCGGCCAATACATCATGGCGTTTTGTCTCTTCTGGCTGTTGTGAGGGGCATGATCAAGGGTGCTCTTTTCGGTTTTCACCCTACTGTTCGTTGTATTTTTGGATATTGCCATTGTGGGTGTTGTTTCTTTGAGTTTCATCGCCGGAGTTACTGTTTTTCCAAGTAGTTTTGCTTTTTTACAATGATTTTGGTACGGAAACATTGACCGGCGTTCAATAGTTACACGTTCCGTTATCGGCTGCAATACCAAGGGATGCTTTTGCAGACTAAATTTCCGCCAACAAACAAGTAATTAAGGAGGACGTGGCTTTATTGGTTTTTAAAATCGATCCGAGACCGAACCGGTGAGGGTCCAGTTTTCTGGTCGAACGGTCCTATCATTCTGAAAAAACCGAATGGTTGGTCCGTTCTGAGAAAAAAATAAAAAATGGTCAAATTGTTCGAACAGTTAACCGTTCGGGTCAGCGGTTTGCTGACCAAAATTAACGGTTTTTGAAGAAAATCCAGTTTTGGGGAAAACTTAAATCAATCACCTAACCTGTTCCTAACTTTTCTGATCTGACCATCCGGTCCAGTCCGATTTTAAAAACCATGGTTTAACGGTTTGATTGAGTTGGCCGTTGGTTTTATAGATGTGCCTGGTTGTTTTGATATGTCAACTTGTGTAGGAAAAGGCCTTTGTTCTTCTTCTCTTGCAAACATGTAAGAATTGAAGATCATATTTTATTGCCAAGGTTGGTGTTTGTCTGGCATTTTGATATCTCTTTTGAAACCCAAGGTGAGGGGAGTTTTGGTCATTTTATTAATGTAAATTCCCAATCAGCACTCTTGTATTTTTATTTGAGTGATAATTTGGTCCCTGAATTTTGAAATGTCACAATCTAGTATTCAAACTTTCAGAATGTGACAATCCAATACCCGAACTTTTAAAATGTGGCAATCCAATACCTGCCATTAACTGGTCTGTTAATTAGCGGTTAAGTGACATTTAAAAAGTCAAAAGTGTCCTTCGAATGCCATCTAATTCTCTTTATCAACCATTCAAACGTTGACAAAAGCCTGAACAGTCCCAAATCCTAGCATCTTTCATTCAAAAAATTAGCGACTGTTTAGAAGAATCTAGAATTTAGGACTCTTCATTTTATTGTCAATGTTTAAATGGTTGATACAGAGAATTAGATAACATTCTTTGAGCATTTTTGACTTTTCAAATGTCACTTAACGGCTGATTAACGAACTGGTTAATGGCATTGTCACATTTTGAAAGTTTGAGTACTGAATTGTGGCATTTTAAAGTTCGGGTACCAAATTTTCACTCGAGCCAAAATACAAGATACCGATCAGGAATTTTCCTTTTTATTAAGGTCTGTTGAAGATGTTGTTTTTGCTTTTTGGCGTTTGGAAATCTTAGCGCCGTTCGCAGAGATCTCTTTAATTTCTCTCCCCGTGCTCAGTTTTACCGTTTTCTTGTTTCAGCAGTTTGGTCTAGCTGGTGATGGGTTTATGTTTCTCCTTTCTATTCACTTTGTTGGACTTCTTGATGAATTGTATTCTTTTGAGCTGTAATCTGAGCATTAATGAATGCATTTGGCTTTGTAGCTTCAAAAAAAATTGTTCTGTTCCGATACATGTAATTTCTACGTAGGACTTAACATTCATTGAATGGCTCCTACTTCGATTTGATCCATGCTTTTGGTTGAGCAAAATTTCCTCTAGATTTTTTTTTTGTCTTTTTTTGGAAATGGGATTGATAAGAATCAGTTTCAACTTTAGCCAATTTTGGATGGATTCGTTAGGGTTGAGGCCTTGAGCAACCCATAATCACTTTATTGTAATAGATGTGTTGTAAATGGATTTTTATGTATGGGATCAAACCATCTTAATCTACTTTCTCTTATTTTATTATATTAGTAATTAAGCACATGCGCTGCAAGTGAGAAATTTTTCTTCATATTAATTACTTGAATTTTAGATATATCATAGTTAAGATAGAAATTGGAAATTAAAAAAAGTGACAATATGATTAAAAAATAAACTTAAATATTTATTAGAGTAAATTACAAAGACCCCCCCCCGTACTCTGGGGTCTGTGACAAAGACCCCCCTGTACTTTGTTTTGCGACAAAGGCCCCCCTGTACTATGGCCGTGAGACAAAGACCCTCTTCCATTAGACTTCCGTTAAAATCCGTCGTTGCAATATTTTTTAATCCCCATACTAACCCTATAACACTGTTCATCTTTCCCGACCTCACGAACAGCAACGGCGGCGGACTTCAAAAGTCCTCCCTCTCTCTCCTTCTCCCTCTCCCCCGATGAGGAAGCGTGAATCCGGGCAATCACAAAGATCGTGAATGGCATGGTGGAGTGCTCGTGTAGAGGAGAGAACATGAATTACACAAATTGATGTTAGGACTCAGGAAGCTGGAGAGTGCATTTAGAAGAGAGATCACTCAGGAAACCAAAACTCAGTTCTCTAAGTAACTATTAGTGCATTTAGAAGCTGGAGAGTGGAGGCTGGAAAAATCTATTCATTGTGTTTCTGCAAGAAGCACTCAGGAAGCACGCAATGCTTCCTGCCAATTCTGTGAGGCTACATTTACACTAAGGTATGAGCTACATTATCGTTTATCAATTACAACAAGGAGCATTTTAATGGGGACCCTGCAAATCAAACAACTCCCCGCAGAAGAGAGATCACATGCTAGAACAATTCGAACTCCAGATGCCCTCCTATAGACTTGAACTCCAAACATTTACTCTCCTGGGAAAGCATAAATGCAACTCTAGGATCACAAAACTTTGGTAGCTCCGATGGGATGGCACACCATATTAATGCCCAGTTCAGGCCCTCAAAGAATGGATGTTGCCCACAAAAAACTTTTCAGGTCCATGTGCAGAATCCCCTTGTATAGATCCTTTCTGTCTCCAGACATCCCGGGCATAGGTTTCATGCTTTTCACTAAGGCTTATATCTTCTACAGCGAAGACCCGAAAACTAAAATCTGACTTGACAGCGCAAGTGAGCCCTCTGCCACAACTTGTGGCAAAGCCAACCACTGCCCGATCCAACTCCTTTGTTGGGACCCTTGAGTACTTAGCTCCTGAGATCATCAAAGGAGAGGGTCATGGCAATGTTGTGGATTGGTGGACATTTGGGATCTTTCTTTACAAGCCCTTATTTGGTAAAACACCCTTCAATGGCCTAGGTAATGAGGAGACTTTAGCGAATGTGGTGATACAGAGCCTCAAGTTGGAGTACTTGCAGCGCTCACTCTGGTCATCGTCCTCCTTTCCTTTATGCAAAAAGCATGTGATCAGTACTTGCGCTTTTCCCATTTATTCCCTCTCAAATTCTTCTTTCTTATTCCAACCAACAATGTGATATCATCTTCATCTTTATCCTCTCAAGCATTGCAGTTTCTCATGATCGTGGCATCATCGGCGACGGCTATAGAGACGAGATTGAAGACAGAGAAGAGAAGAAAGGGAAGATGATAAATGAGTTTCCTTCGTTCTTTCATTTCTGAGAGTTGGGAGAGAGAAAGAATGAGAGAGGACGGTGAGGGAGGGGAAAAGAAGAGAAGAAAGGGAAAACAATAGAATAAATAGGCTTTAAGAGAAAAAAGGGCAAATAAAAGAAAATAGAAAAAGTTTAGTGGGGTATTTTGGTAATTTAATGCATTTCATCATCTGACTTAACGGTCAAGGGGGGTCTTTGTCTCATGGTCATAGTATAGGGGGTCTTTGTAATTTACCCTATTTATTATTCAATTATGACATCATGTGTTTTTTTTGAAAAGTTGGATCATTGACCCACCATCTAGATAAGAAATAGCATTGCTTTTGGATTAGTTTTAAATTAGGGAAAATTATAGTCAGAGCCGACTGTACATTTAAAATTTGGTTACAAGTTGGTCCATAAACCAACAAAACTCTAACAAACGGCTCTACATTTCAAGTTATAAAACCCTCGCCATGTCATTGGAGGGTTATGTGGCTATTGCCAACATGGGACTCTTAATCCATATTGGACATAATAAAAAGCTTATACTAAAATTGCCCTTTAATGTTGGGTGATTGGAAAATAAAAAAAGGGTTTTTAGTTTTTCTTTCTCTCTCAATATCCCTCACACTCTTTCTCTCATAGCCATCTTTATCTGCTAAACGACTATGTGATTTGAAAATAAATAAAAATGGTTTTTGGTTTCTATATTTACATTCTCTATATCAATTTCTTTCATTCTCTTTCTCTCTACCTATCGTTCTCCCTCAATCTCTCTCATTCTCTTTCTTAGTCGATTTCTCCTTCTCCCTTAATTTCTATCGCTCTCCCTTAGTTTCTCTCCCTCTCCCTCTCTCGTTTTTTATTTTCTTATTTTCTTACACATTTATATGGTATTAATTAGATCGTATAAAAGAACATGAGACCAACTTGGTATGGTTCAAAAATTATTACACCAATTTGATAAAATTCACAAGAAACTCTTGGCTATGAAATTTACACCAATTGGAGAACGATAGAGATTGAGGGAAAATGAGATTTTGACCAAGAGGGAGAAGAATGAGAAAGATTGAAGGAGAACAATAGAGAGAGTGGTTTTGATTTGGCTACAGACTGTGAGGGTGGGAGAGAAGGGAGGGAGATCGAGAGACAAAGGGAGTGGAAGAGAAACTGAAAACCTATTTTCGATATAGGTTTTCTACTGTGTCCAACATGGAATAAGAGTCCCATGGTGGCAACAGCCACATAAGCCTCTGATGACATGGCAGGGGTTTTTATAATTTAAAATGTATAGCCGGTTTTCAGAGTTTGGTTGGTTTCTAGACCAACCTACAACCTAATTTTAAATGTACAACCGACTTTGACTATAATTTTTCCCTTAAATTATATAATTCATTTACATTATGTAAAATATTTGTTTACTTATCACACTTAATTTTTGTTTATCTATGATATCATTTTACTCAAACCACTAACCCACCATCTAAAAATAAAAATTGTTTGATTTCTAGGTTGATATTAAATTTTTATTACATTTCCATCATTGATAAAATTATTTCTTATGTATAAAGCTTATTTTTGTTCAATATGATGAATGTACAATATTAGAGATGTACCCACAATTTTATTTTTTATAAATATATAGCATTAGATATGCACCCAAAATTTTCTCTTATCTTTTTTTTTTTTTATTTTTGTGATTCTTTGTATTTTCTATTATTAAAAATTTTATTATTTGACTATGACATCATTTAATTTCTAGGTAGATTTTGAAATTGGCTTTCCATTTTCATCATTAATAAAAATACTTCTT